CTCTATTTGTCCATCTGTTTGGAGATGGAAGACTATAGACATCACAAGTCATATATCTAATATTCTTATATAAGATGCTTTGTCCATTTTATGCCTTTGATTGTCTTTTCCACCACTCACATGAGATTTGGAACCACCATATATACCAGTTGTTCATGCTATAATTGCTTCTTCATAAAGGTTGTCCCTATAAGTAAGTCTTTTATTGAAGATTATGTTTCCTCTTCACTAGATATAGAGGTGCGAAGAGTTACCTTGCATCTTCCATCTTTAAAAAAGATTGTCCTTGCTATCCAATCAACTTTCTTATTTCCCATCTCTAGCCAAGGCATATCAAAGATATTATCATACTTTAGCTTTGTCACTTTGAATCTCTCTCTTAAAATGTAGATGTTTGTCAATCTCAAGGTTTCTTCTTCACACATCTTACTTAACACGTTTTCTTGGTTATTTACAAGGTATATATTTCTTTCCTTGATTTTTTTGGTTTTAATTCCAAGTTGATTGATAATTTTAGTTGAGATGCAATTTTCTATAGAGCCCCAATCTATGAGTACTCGACATGGTTATCCTCTTAATAGTCCCATTAGATGCAACAGTCACCTTTTTTTGATAGTTGTCTGAAGCTATGACATTTGTCTTTGACAGATAGTAGCTACCTTTAGTATTGACCCTTGGCACTTTTACTGGGGAGACTCATTTTCTTGTTCTAATTCATTATCGGCTTGATGAGTTCTGAGACTGTAAGTACGCCTTGTCTTACTCGTACTTATACTTTGATATTTTAGACAACCTCTGATCTAATGGCTTGGTTCTCGACAATAAAAATACAATTTTTTTCGTACCAATATTTGTTATGTTTGTAGTGTCAATGATCCTTATAAGGCATCAATTTCTATTGGTATTGGTTGTTGTGTTGTAATATTAGATAGCGATACAAGACTTTGTATTATAGGTCGTGCTCTACAATTCTTGAAATCTATAGCATCAATCTTCTCTGCAATCCAAATTGCTTCTTCAAATGTTTGTAGATCTTTTAGCTCTACATCTTCCTAGACTTTAGATTTTAAACCTCATAGGAATCGATCCATCATCTTTGCTTCTGAAATATTATAAATTTAGAAATATAGGGACTTGAATTGGGAGACATAATCTTGCACCGACCTAGCTTGTGTAAGATTTGCCAACTAATCAAGTACTATCTTTTTTGCATTGACGGATCAAAATTGATTACTCAACTCGGTTTCAAACTCCTCTCAATCACAAAATTCACCTTGAGCTCCATAGCTTTGAACTCGATGTTGCCACCAAATGGCTATTACATCCCTTACATAGCTAATTACAAATATAATTCTTTTAGTGGTATTTGCCCTAAATAGTTAGAGGTATTGTTACATGTTGAAGAGCCATTAACATATATCTTCTTGTCTTGAAGTTCCAAAGTATGTACAAGGCTTACTCAATTTCAACCTAGCAGATGTCGACTCTCTTGTCCTTGAGGCTTCCATTTGTCCTTGCAAAATAGCCATCTAGCCTAAGAGGTGTTGTATTTGAGCTTCCATCTGGGATTGCTCAACCATATCTGTTATACTGTAATTTCTCCACTAGACTCCACTATTGTAATATCTTTTCATCTCCCGATTGATTTTTTAAGAATATCTCATAGTAGCCTCAATTCAGTACGCAATGAGACCACAACAATTGACCTTGGACTATACAATGACTATTAATATACTACTAAAAATAAACAATCTAATACTCACTTTGATACGAATGAAATAGGATCAGACCATTTCAAAAATTCAAGATCCTTCTATTCTACAACAACATAATATTTCATCACAAAACAGGACAAAACAAATGAAAACAGAACTCAATGAAATTATACAAAATAGAACATGAATGACAAGTTAGTAAACGAAAATAGAACAGAATAGAATTGAATAAAAAGATGAAAAACCAAACTTAACAAAGAGAAAAAGTTTAAAGCCATACTTAACTAGATGCTCCAAAAGGCCCTAGCCAGTCCTATTTATACCTTATCCTACCACCTTAGACTTTCTAAAATGTTCTTAGGTAGTGGACTCCACTTAGATAATCGCTTTAAATTCTTTTTCTAGAAGATTTCATAGTAGGCTCCACTTGAATAACCGCCCTAAGCTTTCTTTTAGAAGGTTTTATGATAAGTCTCATTTAAATAATCGACCTAAATCCTTTTTAGAATGTTCTACGGTGGTTCCTACCTAATCCGCTAACCTAATCCCAATTCTAGAAACTTGCATGGTTTTAATTATCTATATAATTATTTTATCTATATCTTCTTATAATTGAAAACCATACAAAGCTAAATTTAGCTTGACTTGTTATAAAAATTCTAAAAAAATTGATATTTTTTTAATCAAACTTCATAGCCATATTAATCTTTGTGCCTTTTATATTTGTAATAATGAGACTTTTTGGATTTACTTATAAAGTGGATCTTCTTGTTTCTCTCAAATGCGCAACTTCTTAGCATAAACATTGATTTTATTGTTGAATTCCTCATATAGGCATAAAATTAATATAATTCTATAGTCAATATTGGTAATTAGTAAAATTTCTACTCTAAGAGTTTAAAAAACTTATGAAGATCAATAATATTTACAAATAGATTTTTTTATTAAAAATAAAATTTATAATTTATTTATTTATTTATTTATTTTGTCTCTATAATAGTCCACTTTAACAAATATAAAAGTCAAAGTACAAGAGAATAATCTCCAATTTTTAATATCAAATTAAAATTTCTATAAAATAAAATAGTATATTTTTTTAAATAAAAGATTTAATTTTAGATAAAATAAAAATTGATTCAAATGTGGATAGTCTATAATTATTAAAATATAATAATAAAAAGTAAAATAATATATTTACTTTTAAATCAAAAAAAGAATATTAAATTAGCACTCTTGTCAAACTATTAAGAAAATAAATTATAAAAAAGCTTTAAAGAAGTAAAAAACTCTTATGATACTTTAAAAAAGAAAGTAGATAAATTAAAGATAGTTACAAGATAGAAAAAAGAATGACTATTACTAAATGTAAATATATTAGAGATACTTGAGCTAAGCAAAAATATAAGAAAGGTGCTAACAAGAATGAAGAAGGCCTCACTCTTGCCTCCATATATAATATCAAATTAAAGAGATACGTGGCAATATTCTATAAGTCATTTAACATGTGTCCAACTTTCAAGACAAGTTTCGAACATGTATGCTATATAGCTAACTTATTGGCCAAGTTTTCCTCCTACAAGTCACCTACAAAGACTTAAAAAGTCAAATCCATATCTATAAAGCTTCTAAAAAGCTTTTTTGTAAAATAATATCAAAACTTTTTATATTTATTTCTATCTAATTCATTTTTTTTAGGTAATTATTAGTACCAATGTATATATTACAAGAAGTTGTTAAAATAATTTATTTGAATAGTAGTATGAATTTATGATATTACATTTAAATAAATAGCCATATAACATATTTAATAGACTCAATAATTTTAGTATTTATTTAGAAGGCTTCTCCAATATTCTTTTAAAAAGTTGTTATCTATTAAATATTATTTTTACTTATCCTTACTTATTTTGAGGTACTTAAGTAATATAGAAATCTATTACATCATCTCCACCTTTCAAGAGTAAGTTCCAATAAGAATAATTAAGTTATTACATAAATGAATGAAGTGCAAAATTTACCAATTTATATTTGGTACAAAGTATAATAGATCCTTACATGGTAGTTAATAGGTTTTTTAAGCCTTCATTTCTATTTTGTATAAGATCTTAAAAATCATCTATTTATTTGATAATATTAATGCTTTCATAACTGCCTTCAAATAATATTTTTTTTAATATCATCAAATACAGTATCCACATCTTATAGTGAAGTCAGCCCTTCTTATCGTCAACCTTGCTGAAATAATTTTAAAATTTTAGTCAATCTATTTTGATATTATTAAATTTTCATTATAAAATATTATATAGTCAATATTAATCAAATTACAAAGAATGTTGACTATAACAAGTATATTTATGTATGGATGTACACATAATATGGCATGCAATATGTCCTAAATATGAAGGGTAGTAAATTTTCACCAACAATTAAAACAAATTTTACATTACTTTGACTTGCTTGAATATCCATTTTTTAAAGCTCATGGTGTAATGATACAATACATTTAATAATATTTTATAAATTTCAAGAAGCATTAAATATTTCTTAAGAAAGTTTAGTTAAAAAACTATAATAATCTACATATTCTTAAAATCTATTTAAAATAATATATTCCATAAATTCTACTTAATTTATATATAATATATATATATCTATTTGTAACAAAATAAACTATTTTATAAATATTTAAAAAATACAATGTAAACATGTTGTTTTAAATATATATATATATATATATATATTTATAAATTTCTAAATATTCAAATAATTATAATTTAAATAGATCCAATAGTTTTGTTTTAGAACAATAATGGCAAATATAATAAAATAAAATTTCATGGAGCCAAGTAATGTATTTTGTTACAAGTCTGAGTGACCGTTAAAAAATAGGGGAAAGTTAAATAGACCCAAGTTTTTACTAAATTTATCCACCTATCCTAACCATCAATAGAAAAAAATTAATGACCTTTAGATCATTTCTCCATTATTGAATTAGCAATCAATAAAATCCAACCACATTTATCAAAGATGGACCTATTTAGTAAAAGCATGTGTCTATTTAACATTCCCCAAAAAATATTAAACCAAAAATTCCTTCATAACCAAATATACTCACTATAACTACAAACGAGAGTGTGAGTGCCGCTTATCACTTTTCTTTTCCTTTTTTCCTTTTGCTTTCTTCGATTATTTTTTCACATGCCCTGGAAACTCGGGCAGACAAGGGGGGAAGGAACGGAGCCCAATGGGCATATGATTATAGTCTACTGTTCAGAATGTGTTTTGTTGAGAGTGTTACGGCGTCGGACTCCATCGCCACGCATCCATCGCCACCGGAGGGAGACCCTAGAGTCAGAGGCATCGCTGGGCAAAAGATCTTCGGGTGTATGCGGCACCAAGGTCGTGCGTGCCTATCGCGTTGGAACCATCTCGGATGCCAGTGAAGTGCCAAAATTAGCCTCCACTATGTCTTTCTCGAAGCTAATGTGGACCATGCACGATCGTCCTAGACCCGAGACGGCGAAAATAGGCCAACAGCGAGTGCCGGAATTTCCTCCGCCGGATGCGTAAGCCCGAACTTCAATCTCCTTTCTCCCACTTTCCTCCGAGCTCTCTTCAACTGCCCTCTCTTGTTTCACTGCATAAGAAAAATATTCATGATGCCGGAAGTCGGGATGGTTTGCAAGGGATGGCTTGTGTGGTAGCCGAACTGTTCACTCGAGCAATCGTGGTGGAGTTTTATTTTGCAGACTTGAATATTACGAACGGAAATCTGAGTTGCGGTAAACATAGTCCCACCGTACGAGAGATTCTCCAAGTTGTCAATATCGTGGAGCGTGGCTGTTGTGGCGTTATCCAGTCAGTTGTTAGAATCTTTGAGCGCACTGTGATAAATCGGTTTGTTGGTTTACAGGCCGTTTGCATGTTGTAGTGGCACCAGTGCCCGTTGATAGTGATTGAACTGGGATTTTAATTTCTATTGAATTTTTATTAATTATGCGCCAGGTTACCATTCTTTGGAGCATGCATTAGGTCGGAGCGCCAATGTTGGAATGCTGAATTGACTTCGAGGGCTTGGATAGCGAAGTGCTCCTTGTATTCGTCCGGATTCTGTGCAAAGGGCGGTGCCATGAACCTAACCAATGTGAAGGAGTTTGTGCGCCTCAGGGACGCCACATGTTAATGTCGGTGAATCTCATCGCAGACCGTGCAAGCTCCGTCCACAAGGGTTTAGGTAAGACGAGACCTGAAAAAGCGCAATGCAGAGGATTTTGAGGTTGTGGATTCTGTCCGTTTCACTATATCGTATTCTGGCTGTTGAAATCTTATTCTTCTACCTCTCACAACGACTTTTGTGTAAAACTGTCCAAGGCTAGTCCTAATGTTGTTGATTGTGAAGTTTCGGAAGTCTGCGTGGAAATGTGGCGTTACTCTTTCGTTATTTTTGCACCGACGGACGGTTGTGTTCTGGAAACGGCAGAACTCGCTGCTTTTTGCGTGCATTTTTTAAAAGATCTGGTAGCTCGAAGTTATTAAACCTGAACTGACTGCGTATTTTGAAAAAGTGTGCAGAAACAGAGGCAGGTTACTGGGATTGGCATGGAATTTACGATGGCTTATCGCACACGAATTTAGTTATATCAACTTGCCACTGTGATTATTTTGCATTCTTCAACAAGCCATGCACATGCCAAGTCAGTGAAAGTAGGGGGGCACTTAGGCTGGACAAATTTCAATACTGCAACGGGACTCGTTCAAGATTATGCCGGTTGGGCTGCTTCTCAAAGTCTAGTTCGTGATGATATAATTGGTAAGTATTAAATTCTAAATCTCTCAATTTATGTATGTTTTTGGCTAGGTAGAAATGCCTCGTTTCTGCAAACTGATTTCTTATTGTATTTTCTTTTTCATAATTGTAATTTAATACCCGAAAAATTGAAGAGAAGGGGAAATGAGCTTCATCTGGTCTTGTTTAGTGATTTTTGTTCTGAAGATGCTCACATTATTACGAAGTGTTGTTCCGTTCTACTCCAACAAGTTCTTGCGTAGTGAAAGATCCATCAATGAGAGGCTTATAGAGATGCCTACGTAGAGTTACTATTTTTGAGTCTCTCAACTGTTGGCGTCTCAAACTCTACTAATTTTGCTATTATTTCCAGTCTCTCCTCGACACCCTCAGAAATGAGATTTCTCAAATGTTGGGATTACGATACTAATTGGAAGGTTTTCTTTGCTCTTAACCCTACTCACATACTTGCTGCAGAATTTAATTTTCGACCCGGTGCACGCGTTCTATTTCAAGTTGACTCTCAAGCAGCCCTCGATGCCTGCAATTTTACTGGTGTTGTACCCATATTTGACCAAAACTCCTCTAGTCCTGTCCATGTAAGTGAACTTTCTTCTTTCCTTGGTTAATACGAAAGTATCAATGATGCTGTACCTCTGCTAATTGTTACAGTCTCACCACTTCGAACGCTACTTTTGAGGAAGCGACGTGTTTTTAAGAGTTAAGGTTTCAGTTTTCAATGAAATGTCCAAGCCTGTAGCTGAAGTTCAACTGTATGTCGAGAACATGCGGTTCATGGTTTGATCCTGGAAAGTACTGCCAGAGGCTTCTTTGAAATAGTGTTTGTCTGCGTACCAGGTTACTTTAACTGCTTCAGGTGTAAGCTTTTTCGGTTATGGGGGAATGACTTCCAAAGGCGTTTCCAACTGTGAACCTGGCCAAAGATTTGCAGTTTCCGTCCACGACTACGCTATGACAACTGGCAGGAGATATCTTGCCAATGCTCCTGCACAGGAGAAAAACAATAACACCGCAATCATTGCCGGTTTGAGCACAGTTACCTTCTGAGAGTGCCTTCAGCAATTTGAACCTTTTTTTATTTGATTTATTCAAATTTTTTAATGTTATTTTTCTTCCATAGTGTGTGCAAAGTTTAGGTTGCACAACACTAATTATGTATTCTGTTTTGCATGGTTACAGTTGTCATCGGCGTGGTGGTTGTGCTTGGAGCAATTGGTGCATGCTACTGCTATAAACAGCGGAAAGGTACTGGAAGGAAACTTCTTAGGAAAAGGGCCTCCAATTCTAATCTCCAGGAAGTTATATCCTCAATAGCGCAAGGACATGGATCAGTTACTGTCTTCACTTTGAGGGAGCTTGAAAAAGCAACGGAGAATTTTGGTGAGCACCTTGTTCTTGGCCTTGGTGGCTTTGGAACGGTGTATAAGGGCACATTAAGGAATGGGATGGTCCATGTTGCCATCAAAATGTCGAATGCTATCAGTAAGACTGGCAAGAAGCAACTCTTGAACGAGATAGCAATACTGTCGAAGACAAATCACCCGAATCTAGTGAAGCTGTTTGGGTGCTGCATTGAGACGGAAGTTCCAATTCTTGTGTACGAGTACATCCCAAATGGTAATCTATTTGAGCACTTGCACAGACTAAGATTTGGAGTGAATCTTAATTGGAAGAAGCGTTTGCAAATCGCAACCGAGGCTGCTGAAGCAATTGCCTATCTTCATTTTGCTGCACAACCTCCCATTTATCACCGTGATGTGAAGTCAGGAAACATTCTACTAGACAATACTTTTTCTGTCAAGGTTGCAGACTTCGGTATATCTCGCTTAACCAATCCGGAGAAGACGCATGTTTCAACAGCCGTCCAGGGCACCCCTGGCTATCTGGACCCCGAGTACTTCCATAGCTACCACTTGACAGATAAGAGCGACGTCTACAGTTTCGGTGTGGTTTTGCTGGAGCTTATCACATCGCAGAAGCCTCTTGACTACACGAGAGGTGACGAGCACAGTTTGGCAGCTTATGCTCTGCCCATTATAAGAGAAGGAAACTTGGATTTGATCGTTGATCCTCAACTCAAGGAGTCTATGGAGGAGTTCCAGGAATCAATACCGACCATACAGCGAGTAGCACAGGTGGCCATTAATTGCTTGGCAGATAAGAGGAAGGATCGTCCAACGATGAAAACAGTTGCCGCGGCCCTTCAGGATATCAACAAGACCTATCTCAACCATAATAATGGAGGAGGTACCGAGTTCGATGATTAACTCAGTTTGCCTTGCAAAATTTGATGCCAACATTCGACAAATATCCTCGTATTCTTCACCTTGCTCGCCATCTTCAGCTTGAAGGTCACGATATTCTCAATCACTTCGTAGATTTTTACACTTAAGAAGAAAGTTTCTCCTGCTCATACTGACCAGGACCTGTTGAAGGGTAGTGGTTGGGACTTTTTTTGCACAACTGGTGCAGGAGCTGGTTGGGGGAACTGTTCGACTCTTTTTACAGATTGTGATATAGCGTTTATCTCGGTCCATACGCTTCCGCCACAAAGGCTAAGGCTATCAGAGCGGTATCCACGAGAAGTTGAACTATAGTATTTGATAAACACCTTGATGTCTGACATACTTTGCCATTGCGAAGTAGTTTTCTTATTTGCTATCGCCAGAATTTAGGGTCTTTACTGTGGGCTGTCTAAAGGCTGACCATGTACTGAAAGAAGTCAATTGCCTAGCAGAGGAGATTCAAATCGGAAGCAAGTAGTTATGATAGTTCTTGCAATTTCATTCAAATCAATTGATAATAGCGTCTAATTACATTCTTTATCAAAGTAGGAAGAAGGGGTCATCGATCCTATAGTTCGATGCAACCCACGTGAGGATTTGGTTGATTTATAAATCTTTCTTAAGACTGCAGATTTCGTTGTTTTTTTTTTACTAATATTGCACTCTCTACTGCGTGTCTATGAAAATTTCACAAGCTCTAATATTACCATTGCCGGCTCTCATTTCGCAACCACGTTGCAACTTCTTCACAGTCGGTAGTTCTCTCGAGTGTTGGTTCACTGGCTACACAAGTCGGATAAAACGTAGGGACTCCAGGACAGTCCTTTGTGGAGAAATTGCAGAACCATCTGATCCATGACGTGTTTTTTTGGACCTTTTCTCACATCAGTAATGTGACCAGGAAAATTATCCAACAAATAATTTTCATAAGTAGAGTGTTTCTTTGGTGCAACTAGCAGTGTAGAGCGACTTCAAGCTACATGGTTAAATATGACATTGCTCACGAACCGGAACACTAATTAGATGGAGCTGGAATGAATCAGGAATCCCTGTTAGCACTGCAGCCAAGCAATCTGAAACAACCATCACTCATTCTTATCTTTTCCCTTTTTCTGATGAATTCCGCACGAAAACACTCAACCAAAGGAGAATCTGTTGTACACTTTTGGAGTTTTGTTATCCCAATGAGGATTAAATAAACGCTTGCGTATGCAGAGGTAGACGAATTAAATTAATCCACACTCATCTTGTGGTAAACCTTCGATACAACTCTCACAATTTCCACTGTTGGACGATTGATCATTACGTTACTTCGATGCCCATTTTTATTCTCGCCTGAGTTCAGATCCAATTTGTTACAAATTCGTTGCATTGTTTGAAATTCGTAGCGAAATCAGCGGAAACCAACATTCTAGTTATGTCCACAGCAGGAAGTCCACCTAAGTTGGAGTTTGCAGGTAACTACAAAATCTACCTACTGGCTAGAACATATTGTGCATTTGTACTGCATTCAGCTTTTACGTCAGATCATATTTCAATATACTTCGATATTTTCATTCTGCAACAAAAAAAATTTGGGTTACTTAACTAGAATAGAAGGAACATTAATTCTGCTTTAGGCCAATGCTACGACTCATAAAGCTCAAAGAGTATGTTACAAGTATAATTGTGGACACATATATCTTACGAAGTCAGTATATGAATTTGTAAGACAAAGAATCAGGTCTATAGTAAATATGCACGGCATTATCATAAGCATCTACTCCACAAATTTAATTCAACTCTAAAAGCATAGTGTAAGAATGGTCAAAACTTCATCGAGAACCGTGTGAATGGAGCATGGCAATCTCAACTTGCAGTGCTCCTATCAGAGCTTTTGGTTCATATATCCTGCCCAATTTTTCATCAATAGTAGAGTCTACAGTTACCTGCATAGACAAACACAATCTAGGGTGAGATGGCCATCTCCGACATATAACATCCCCATCTCAAGATTATAGGTCCTTGCTGACATGCACTGACAACAGGAGGAAAATTACTAGTGGCAAAAATCAGGTTCGAGAATCTTACGACTCGAGCGATTCCCATTCGTGTCAAATTTTCCACATCGATTTTTATGTCCCCACCTTCTGGCACCAGCATTACTGTAATGTAGTCACTTGGCTACATCCACTCAAAAAGCATGCCAACATCAGATTTGTGAAATAATTATAGGTCTCAGTCAGAAGTCTGATGAATCACTTTTCCAGTCTCTACATGTCTGGTTTAAATGAGGCAAGCACTCACGATGCCGCCATAAAATGGTGATACAAACAGCTTTAAATTGCATCAGCAATAGATCCAGGCATTTCTTAACTACGTCAAGCCCTACTATGAATGTTCGAAATCCTGAATGCACAATAAGCTTGATCACAACTCACCGAGTGATCAAGGCTAGGACAAGGATCATCGCAGTTTCGTGACTCCATGGAATCACAGAACGTGCGATTGAGTGCATCGGTTATGGAGGCAACGAATGCTGAAGCAGGCATACCAAAAGTTTCACGATCATACGTACTGTTGAGAATCATCACCTGCATTCTTCCTCAAGCATCTCAATAAACTAGTCAACAGAATCACAAATAGCCGTATGAAGACTAGCATATGGCCGTCTACACCGAAGGTGAGAATGTGTGACCAATCAACAGAAACTTGCATTTGGATTTCTTAGTTATATCCACTACTTTGGATGGCTTCAATTCGCCACTGTTTTATCAGTCTACAACCAGGCGAGCAAGTTATTTTTCAAATTCTGCAATTGTACTCACCCTGATCACCCTAGAGGTCATGACGTACTCACCTTAAGACACGAACGTGCAGCTATGGTTTCGCCAACTCCTCTCAAGACCTAAGAGCACAAGCATAAGCAGCGTCAGTCTGCAGCGACCCTCTGTAAATAAATTAGAGCAAGAAGTCCTTTCGTTGTATGCTACAATCACAAGCTATATGAAATGAATCAGAGAGCAGAACAGACCAATAGTCAGTTCGTAGATCAACACAACAATAAGTGCATCAAATTGAAGGTATCATGTGCATGCGTTCCAAAGAATAATTACCAAAGACGGACATATGGAAGTGTATAGTGAACCCATGCCATAAACAATAGCATCGACAAGGGATAGTTGCTCCACCACCGCAGGGTTCACAGCAGGGAAGACCTGCACATTACTTATTTAGCTTTTATTTGAATTCAAATATTTGCAGCTCTTACCAAGTTGACGAGGCCTCAATGCTACGATTATCATTTCTTATTCTGAAATATGAGAGAAGTTAAACAATGAAGTAACCGAGAGATTTTTTTACACGAACCTCGTGAAATATGTTGTTGCCTTCACTGGACATATAGAAAATGCGCTTTATAGGTGATGGCAGCGGAGATGACGTCTGCGATCGACACACCACCCGCAGGGCAGTCTAATAAGTTGCGAAAAGCGGACAATATAATCACCCGAGTCTGGGGAAGGCCAAAATGACATTGGAAGCTCTGAGCTTGGCACGGTTTGAACAGATAACCAGGAAGTGACTCGAGGTAGCATACTCTACCTTTACTACAGATGTTCTGCACATTGAATCGTTGACTGTTGGATGCGATATTGCATTTTGCCCTTTAATGACAGTCCCATCCTGCAAGATTGCAACATCTTCACTTGGTACCTTACAGGAGATACCTTTGAAATAATACTTCGACAAATAAGATCCAATTGGACGATTAGGAGAAAATTGACAATTGATGCTAACATGAGGACGATGCCCGTGCAGTTGTGTCTATATCAGTTTCACTACAGGAAAAAAGTAGGTGAGATGAACATACAAGCAGTTCACAACCTAAAGTCAGTCGATCATTTGTGCTGATTGCTGGAAGCACTAAACTGTGTGTTGGGATGTGGGATACTCGCGAATATAGAAAAATTGCCGCATCCAGTGATTGGAAAAAAATGCGAGCTCCAGCAAAGAAGAAGTTCCCTATGCTGAAGAGATACACCACATGAGCAATGCGTAAGCAAATAAGGACATTTACGTGGTCGAAAGGCACAAATCCCACCTAATATACCAACAAAATTTCTACAAGACCTTGAAATGCACATGCATCGCCAGGATGTCATTAAGTGTTTTGAATCGAACAAATTAAAAGAGAAGAAAATCATGTACCTTCCATTCCTGAATGAAAACTTGTCAACCGAACGTAAAAGAATCTGTACCAGCCGCCACGAAACCATCGGCTTTGTAACTTCACCAACTTCACAGTAAATTTCTTTCTTTTTTAATCTGTGAAACAGATCAAAGACATGTATCCTAGTAAAATAAATCGCATTTGTACCATCTCCTAGCATGCGAGTTGGTTCAGTAAGGTTACCTGGCATTGAAAGTGCACAAGAAATGCCCTAATTGTTTCTCTGTATGGGCCAGAGACATTATCCCAAAGTTGATGCTCACCTTCCACAATTTCATACCTAATTAAATCATCACAGAGAATGCACGTCAGATGTTTCAGCAACAACCCACGTGATTTACATAATTGCTCAAGGAAAAACTGGCTATCCTGTGATGATAATGAGTACATGGCCACCTACATGGTCAGCGAATCTCAGGCATGAGAATTAGATTCAGACAAGCCATTGTCTGCGTATGCTTCAACAGCAAGATGAAACGAGAGACTACATAAAACAAAGACAAGTTTTAATCTTAATTTTAAAATTTTAAAAAACCTAGAACGCACGAAACGTCTTGGTCTAAATCTTCTCAGTGAGTTCTAGGCAGGTAGAAAACGCTGAATAATAAAAATTACCACTCAGCTTTTGCTTCTGTCTCTTCGGACGACAACCGGTGACCAAGCAGCCGCTTCACTGCCAAGGCCTCCACGGAACTATCACTCGAAAGCCTCAAACATCGAGACCGTATGTCTCCAACGGCAGGACCTCCTGCAGTTCATCAATTGCAGTACCAATTAAAATTGGATATGCTCCGCAGCCGACATGGTCGTCAATCTAAACTCAGATCCTTCAGTCTTCACAAGCTTCGTCACTGAATGCCGAAGTATGTAAATTACAGTCACAACTCGAGATTGCTCTCAAAAACTCTAGTAGCCATCCGCTAAGTGACGCTACACGAACTGGTCCATTCAGGAGCAAAAATGTTCCAACTTCCGCATCACACCGCTCGAGCGGAAGTAAATATTCCCCGTCGAGACGCCTAGGCCCACAATCCTCTTTAGGCTTCGAGAGAACATAGACCCAAGAGCCCGCACTCAACTACGATGAAATACACGTCTCATCTACTACGTTGCACCAGGGCAAGGCAGTTTCGACGCGTTCAACCAGAAATTCAAATCCTGCTGCAGAACTAAGTTTGAACCTACAATGGTCACGCATCAGCCCGATAAGCGCCCAATTGTTTCCATGAGTTTAACAATTAAAGATAATTTTAAGGTTAAGGGCAAAAAGACCCAACCAACAACGCGCACAATCTCCGCTGTGCTCCCACCGTCATCTGATACCGGAAGAACGTGCGAGACGCGCGTCGTCCACTTCTTCAGCTCCTCCACCACACCGTTAAAGGCCGTTCCACCTGCATTGACGCACATCAATGTCTGCCCCGTGAAAGAACAATCTTCAAAACCTCGACAACTACGGACAACAACAACCACAAGAAAATTCTCCATAGGACACACCATTGAACTCCAATTCCTAATAAAACACATCCACCATGTCTTAATTCCATCTCACAATGCCCCACCCAGAAAAATTCCCAATCCTACATCAAACCTTCGCACCTGAAAAAACGAGCATGGAGGGTCCGCGGACGTGCACATCCAAATGAACCTCAGACTGCTGGCTCATAAGCACGCCACACTGCTGGTCCACAAAACCTGAAACACCCCCATATCGTACCGAGTTGCCCTCATACCACAGCGACATCGCTACCGCGGCGTCCCCACTCCCTTGTACTCCTCCCCCTTCTTCACCCCCACACACTCTCCGTCCCATCTTAACCCTTCTCGCTCCACCCCATGTGTGCTGCTGAACCCAACTCCTCCTCCCACTCACTCTGCTGCTGCTGCTACCCTCCCCTCCACAAGGCCACAGATGGTAACACCCCGGGCACAGGTTGATGAACAAGGGAGAGGAGCTATGGTGGACGATCATTGCGACCATGGCCACTCATCGCCAAAACATCATTTCACGCCCAATCACATTCAGCATCAAAAGCAAGCTCGTTTCCCTCAGAAGAGACAGCGACCCCGCTAATGCAATTCCCGACTAACACAACCACGGGAGATCCGCAAACAATGTGGCAAAATCAAGTAAAGCCCCGGTCGCCACCACCACCACTTTCCGACGACATTAAGATGTGTGCGTCGGCGTTCATTCCGCGACATACACACGGCGTGTGTGCTAATGGGGGCTTGTAATATATCGTTGGAAAGAGGAATTTGTGGGGAGATGATGCGTTTCGTGAGGAGTGGTCGCGTTGCGGCGTTTGCTCCCGCTGCTTGCCGCGATCGCCGAGGCTCTGATCGCGTGCTTGCGCTTTCACACTGCTATTTGTTCATCGGCGCCTTCGGCGCTGGGCTTAACGGCGCTTCCTTCCCTTCAATTGGTGCTTCCCTCCTCCTCATGCTCATGTTTTGTAGAATATTTTCTATATATATATATATATATATATATATATGTTGCATAATTCCAATTCTGTCTTTTCATTGTGATTCGGCATGTTTCGGTTTTTTTGCTTGATGTTGCACGAACAATTCTACAATTTCCTTGACATGAAATTGCTTGTAAGTGTCGTTTTTGACATTTGACGGTTGTACATAGTTCGATGATTTTTTTTCTTTTGTTGTTTGTTTGTGGATGAAATCTTTTTGAATAACGATTTTGGAAAGTAAAAGGGAAGAAAAAAAAGAAGCATAGTCATTTGTTCATTGTGCAATGCAAATTTAATTGTTCATTGTGTGCTCATGAATGATTTAAAACTAACACGTTTTTTAAGTCAAATTCATTAAGGAATTGTCATGTCAATGTGTTGTTACATGTTTCTGACACATGGAATGTGTTGTGTGCTGAAGTTTCGAAATGATTGTCCCAATTATGAAATTTTTATTTGTTAAAATCTAAGAAAAAGTTTAAGTTTTGTATTGTTATTCACATAATTTTTGTCAACAAATAAAATGAAAAAATGCATAATTTTGGTGTTCACTTTTCTTTTTCTTTTTTCTTTTTTTTTTAAATACAAGAATATATTCTATGCTTGCATGATTCTAACACTCTCACATGAACATATGCATTGTGAAGTCTATAATAAATACAAATAAATATCATGAACATCACTACTTTTTTTTCAAGTGAAAGATGTAGCCACACATACAAATTCAATTTTACAAAATAAAGCATCAAATTAATTTGATAGGTTTTGTATTGTGTATAAATTTCTGATATAGTTAGAAACATTATTTATATTTTAAAATTTCCTCAAAAACCAAAACATTTACAACCTTTATTAATTCCTTGAAATTTTATAATCCAATTGACTCCTTAAAACTTAAAAAGACTAGAATGTTCATGTTTTTGCATGATAATGCAGTATATATACATATAGAGAGAGAATTTGAAGTCATTTTTTATTTTTAAAATTTAGATATATTTTTTAATGAATGGAATCACAAATCACTTACAAATTTATTATTTTAAAAAAATAAAAATAATAAAAATATATATTTTAGCAATACGTTGAACTATTCTGAAAGTACAGGTATTTTTTATGTATCAAAATTCAGGATTCTTATAACCATGTTTACATTATTCAAGGTATCTAAATGTTTTTGTCATTGTTAATTTGATGGTTCATGCCCTTTACCAAGTGCTTCTTCCAATTTGAAAGAATAAAACTAAAGAAATAAATTCTCATTAAAAAACAAACAAACATACAAACAAACAAACAAACAAACAAACAAACACTGTTCAACTGAATAGACTATTGAAATTATGTAAATAAAATAAAATAAAATAAAATGATTTTGAGATAAATTTTTATATTTCCGAAATATATTATTGCTACTTATTCTAAAAACATATTGCATGGAACGATTACAGGGATGAAAATGATAAATTTATAAGTGTGTTTTCAAAGTATTCTCTTTGAGTAAAATGTACATCACATTTTACTTTATTATTAATACTACATTACATCAGATACATGATTAGCTCTACATTAAAGGTTTTATTTCAGTATTTTAAAATCATTACAAGATTTTTTTTTACCAAATCCAAGAAAAAATGCATTGTTTAGTTTTGATTTTAATTTTAAGTTTTTTATAAACCTTAATAATCACACTAAAGCATATGGTACTATTTCATAGTTCCAATTTCCCAAAACTGTAAGTTTGGGTATAAAACCAGGAAACCTTTGTATTGGATCAAGCCATTTGTTACATTGAACATTATATGAAACAATGAAATTAGCATGTTCACGACCAACAATTGAAATGCAATCCATACTTGAGATGCAATCCCACTCAGTTTTAATACCTGGAACAAAACATGCATTGAACAAGGTTTGTGGCATCATAGTCACATATTCACAATCGGGATAATCGTACACATGTTGAATGAACTTCCAAATGTTTATTGTTGTAGGAGTTGATGCTCCACGAGCTATAATGTACAATTCATTGTTAACTTCAAGAACTTGAGGGTGTTCTACAACCATTAAAGATGGCCAATTGTAAGCTTTCCAAGTACGCGTTTGTAGTCTATAACCAAGAATTAAAGGTTGATAAATACCGGCCGTATTTGTGACTAACTCTCCACTCATAAACAATGTGGGTCCCTCGCACAACTTTGTTATCAATGCAAGAGCTCCATTGCCACCGCGTAGACTTGGACGCAATATTCTACTACACGGCGATACAAATACCTCCCACTTTTGAGTGATTGATTTATAAATAGCTATTTGCATACCATCCGCTTCACCATCTTTTATATTTTTACAATGAAATCCCGCAATGTAGACTACATAAGATGAACCACTTGGATGAACCACCAACCGTGCTACCATATTTTCTAAACTAACATGCATTGGTGGAAGCACTCGGAATGTTTGTATTATAGGGTTGCACACAACAAGGACATGTTGAGATGGGAGATTTGGAGGTTCATATGGTGGAATCAAAGTGGCACTTTTAATTTTAGATTTTATTTTATTTTTAATATTGGTTTCCAATGTTTCTCCTTGTTGTACTTCTCTTAATTGTGTGGATTCATTTTCTACAAGTTTGTTTCCTTTTTTATGTGATTTATTCTTTTTTTCATTTGCGTTTTCATTTCTAGGTTTACTTTCTTTTGTTGAGGGATGTGCATTTAAGTTTGTGTGGGATTCTTTTTCTCCAAACAATAACAATAGACCTCCTTCTCCGGCAAGCATTCCATGCACTTTACTTGGAAGAAAATCTAATGAAGGCATTTTTATCCATTTTTTTTTCCTAAGATCATAAGCTTGGATTTTGCGCACCATTTCTTTTTTACTTAGTATATTGCATGAACATGTAACCGATCCAAATTCAATATCATTGGGTTTGGAAGTGATAGTTCCCATTTTCACATATGCTTCATTTCTTACTTTGTTGTTTTTTTCAACTTGTTCTGGAACAATAAAAGGCCCTAAATGTATAATTTGCTCACCTTGGAAAAGATCAATTTGTACTAACACATCTTCTAAATCAACACCATCTAAACAATTATCAGTAAGAGGTTTGATAATTTCAGCTTCTGCTTCTTTTTCTTTCTCATTCTGAATCTTAGGTTTCGGTTTCAATTTAGGTTCAATTTTTACACTAAGATCAACCCTCTCTTTTTTTGATTTTTTCAAACTTGGTGCAAGGACATTTTTGTTGTTCTTATCTTCAATGCCCACTTCTTTCTTTTGCTCCACTAAAATATTTGGATCTTTCACAATTTTTTCATGTTCTTTCATGCAAAATGATGTCAACCAATAATCATTTGGTTTGTAAGGTTTAAGGTGGGGTACTAGAAAGGGATTCTTAGCATAATTTAACATAATTGACTTATAAGATGGTACAATTCCCACACGAAATAATACTTTTGGTGGTAACTTAGATAGGATTAGGTCTCGAATATTGTGTCTATCTTTTATATCTTCACTCAAATATTCAAACCAAGCTTCAATCCATTCATATTGACCTACTTTATCTTCCAATAATTTTAATTTTGTCAATGCCTTATAATTAGGTCGAGGTCCGGGTAACCTTTCTTTATTAGGTGGTTTGAATATTACCTTTAAACTCTCTACAATATTCAGTCTTACAGTGCATGTGTTTGTTATTGTTGTCATTGTTGAATACTAAAATGAAATGTTTCTTAAACATGAACTATAGATTTATCATAATCTACAAACCAATATTTTGGTGTAAAATGATAAAGCTATAGTTTGAAAATGTTAAAAATGTACTGGATTTGATATTTTAAATAAGTTATCATAAGATGAGTATTATGAAATTTGTATTATCTTAGTAGTACTCATAAGTTGTGACTTTTAAGTTATCATAGGTAATTTTTTTCCTTCAAATTATTTTTGAATGGAATGTTATGACATGTGCATACATTACAGAATCCTAACAAAGAGTGTAAACATGATTGGATTTTGATTTCAAAATTTAAAGATGGCATCTTCAAAGGTTGTATCTTCAATAGTCACATCTTTTAAAAATAATTCCTTATTGTGGTAATGTTGAGTTGTTGTTGTTGTTATTATTAACATTGTCATTTTTGTTGAACAATGAAGAATAACAAGAGTATTTGTAACATGTTCAAAACATTATATGCTTTAATGGACACACACACACACACACACATATATATATATATATATATATATATAAAAGATCATATATTCATATATATATATATATATATATATGAGAGTGTACTGAATCATACATTTTTCAATTAAAAATTAAGGTGCATTTGTTTTTAAAAGAAATATATATATTTTAAAACTTGAGTGTGCATGATTTTAGAAACTTACATAAATACATTGTAGTTTCAAACTGTAGTTGTTCAGAATTTGTTCATAATAAATCCGACATACTAGGGCAATTTGTTGTTGTTATTATTATTATTAATATATAATTTATGTAAGTATAGAAAAGATATAATTTATGAAAGAAAATACTTTTGTTCCAAAGCTTGTAAATTTTCAAATTACATGGAAAAATAAATACTTTGAAATTTCTTGTTCCTTACAGAAGTAGTTGTATTTTTCACATTATAATTACTTTTTGAATTCTTATCAAATTAAAATTTAAAATTTGAATTTACGCAGATGATTTAAAACTATAATATATATATATATATATATATATATATATATATTTGCAAAAGAAAAAATCCACCATAAATATTTGTAGTTTAAAACTATAATTATGTAAATATAATGACTAGGTTGTATTATGTATTTTAAAAATATTAAGGTAGAATGACGACTTTTTAATTAGTCCTTGCCAGACTCACATATAACTATTCATTTCTGAATTGTAGCTTCTATATGAGTTTTTAGTTAATCTTTTATCAATAAATTTCAAATCTGTTATTGTGTTGATTTTTTAAAACTAATGTATTTTCTAATAGTACAAAAAAAAAAAAAAAAAAAAAAAAAATTTACTCATATTTTATAATATTATATGTTAAGTCATTGTTTTAAATGAAATTACACTCATTAGCCATTACACTAGCAACTTTTCTTTCTATTTCTAGCACATTGAAGCAAGTGACAAGTGTTCCTAATCTTATACCTTTTACATGTGCCCAAAATTAGTATTCAATAAACATCCACATTCATATAATTCTTTATTCAAAATAGAGTATTGGGCTATAAAATTTGAATGTCACTAATTGACTAATTTAAACACTAAGTACAGTATTCTACTCATAAAATGGTACCACTTCTAAGATAATAATTTCATATTTCTTCTTTCTATGGCACCACCATCCTAGCATTTACCATCCATAATGATCCTATAACTTCATTTAATTATCCTTTAATTATTCTCAAAATGGTGGTGGCAAACCAAAAGTATTAGTCTTTTTGCATTCTACTTTAGTAATTGGATATAAGATTTTTTTAAATAAAAACCTTATAGCCCTACTTGTTTACAAATATAAAAAGACTATCAACTATGACGATCTATTGTTGATTGTATCATTTCAATTACTCTTCAAACATGTTTATGGTGATCTATTAATGTGAGGAGACCATCTTTTCTTTATGTACTATTTTTGTGGTTTATATGTTATTTCTATTACATTAAAATTTTAAAAATGATATGTTTTTAAAAATTAATATTCAAGGTAATGACAAACACGTTAAATGAACATATAATAAAGAAACTCAAGACATATAAAAAGAACATAAACTTATGATATAAGTCAAGGAGACAAAAAAAAAAAAAAAAAAAAAAAAAAAAACTCTCATTAGTTGCTCATGATATCACTAAGGACATATCAGTAAGATAAACTAAAGACACAAAAAATTAATAAAATGAACATTAAGATAAACTAGAGAAAAACACTAGAACAAAATAGAGTTTAACTTTCTATGGCCAATGGTATGGGTTTCTGCTAGTGTTATATAAGTTGATTGACTTAACATATATTATAGTCTAGTTTTTATCTAATTCAAATAAAATTTCAGTTTAACATCAAAATTGTTAATGTCTAAGTCAAGGTCAATTTTTAATTTTAAAAAGGGATTATTACTACATTTTTTTACTATCAACAAATGTAATTTAAAAATTAAAAGTACACATATACAAGAAAGGAAACAAAAAGAACATATTTTAAGCAAATGATGTTATTTTCTTAATATAGCTACTTTTAAAGAGTTGAAAACCTAACCATTCTGAAAGCCACATCAAATGAACTTCATGAATACAAAGTACAATGCACAAATTTTGAATAGTGTTTTTTTTCATATCGATCCAAAATCAACATTCTATGATCACACTTATCAATACTTGTATCAATACACAATACATAGTCCAAATTGCTTATCACAAGTGTAGGCCTCGTTATTGATATTATCCCATACTCTTTCCATATTAAAGAAGGATGTGCAATTTCCATGACACATACACGAGTCAGAGAGACCCTCTCGGTGCATTCGTGAATCAATCACCGACACTGAAACCCTAAACCCTGAACCCTAACAGCGTCACCTTGAAAGGTCTGTTGGCGATGGGAGGAATGAGGAAACGGGCCGAAGAGGAAATCAGGTTTTGTCTTGTATTGGGTTGTTGTTTGATTGTGTGCTTGATTATGTGTGTGTGTGGCAGAGAGATGTCATCACCAATTCCTTGTGCCGGGAATCCTCCTGTGTCCTTGTGTGCAGTGTGTGGAGTGCCGAAGGAGGCGCACATCCACATGTGACACAGCCCATCTGGGCCATATGCGCCGTTGTACCCCGAGATTCGTGACTGGCCTCTTCTGTAAAAGTTTCTTTGGCCACGGCTCCTCATGCAATCGTGTTTGAACTAGTGGATTGTGGGACGAGACATGCATCAGAGACACGGCAAGGGAAGGGCTGAGGAGCTGAGACGGCTTTGCTTCGAGCAGAGCGGAAGTTCCTTGCAGCAATCAGGTGTCTGTAATTGCAACATTGCATGTTTGTACCGTGCATGAGTACGTCGATCTGTGCCAGTCTGCACGAGAATCTGCAACGGTCCACGCTGTCTCAGGGTTAATATATATATATGTTTGATTTTTGTTTATGTTTATGTTTTTATTTTTTAATCGCATTTGTTTCAGTTACGGAACTGGTGAAACGCTGAGGAGTGGAGCATCCGCGTGCGGCATGCCCACGATTGTTATGTTCGTCGATAATTCGTCTGCACGAGTTAAAATCCATTCTTCACGACTAAACGTGTTGAAGTGTTTCAAAAATCACGAATTCTGTGACAAGCGTTGCGGTTCATCAGGACCAATTTATGGAGAATAGGATTTACCGTATGAATGATTTGTACACCTGGGGAAAGGAGAAAACAAACATTTTTTAATGCCATGTTCGTGTCCCTTAGTTCAAACTCCCCTGTCCAGATTTTCAGTGCAACAGGATTGCCACTATAAAATCTCAACAGTGTTAGTTCTCGAATCTGTCACGATGCGTTTGATTTAAAAATTTCGAGGTTAGGGCTTCTTTGGGAGGCCTTTCGCCGGAAAGAAAGCGAGAAAATAAATAAATGATCTTATTTTTAGGTCATTTCTTCTCTTCCCAGAATTCGGCATATATCCGATAACCCCATACTGGCAGCGGAAAAAACTAGGCCAGACACTAGTGATTATACAACTGGTGTACATAACAAATCATCACGGTCGTTCGATTAAGAGTGATGCAAGACTATGGTGCAGACAAGAAAAATCTAGGTCAACTCCAGTTGGTAGTAATTCAGCTGCATCTGTGTGAGTCGAAACCTGAGTGCTCGTAAAATGCAAATGCTGCTTTAGAGGACGATTGGCATGTTCTGAAACACCACAAGAACGACTAGCTATTCACCGCCGCAAAGAAGTCCCAACTTATGTATGTACACCGCACGGCATCTAGTCCTTGAGTCCACGAGTACTGTATTCCGTGCATCAGCCCTGCACTTGCCTCCACATTCTGCGACCAAGTCATATCCATTTGACATCTTAATTAACAGCAAAAATGGTATAAGCTCGAGATAACCATCATTTCTCTCCGTGGAAGGAATGGATCTGGTTCTTTCATTACTGAAATACCACTCAATTATCACCAATCATAGCCCATATTGCCGACGTCTCCCACCAAGCAATGCAATGGAGGTGTGAAGAATTACACAGTTTTTGAAAGTTTTCTTAGAAGTGCTTTGTCACCAAATACCATACCGTGTCTAAACTTGTAACAGCATCGAGATGTTCCTTGCAAGCCGAACCGCTTGCATTCAACTAAATGTTAACGCCTAGTTATGCTCAACAGGATCTAGACACGTAACGTCAGAGCATCCTGTGGATACTCAAAATTTGATCATCCTAAGTTAAGCATATGTCCAATTATGCTTTCTAACTAGAATCTGATTACTGAAAAACCCTTCCAAATTGCAAAGGAAGAAATTAAATGCTGTGGCCACTCTTAGATTGAACCAACATAGCATTGAAGGTACGTGAGCACATGAAGCCTAGACATTCTTAAGCTTCGCCATCTTGGAAGGAGGCCATTTTCCTTTCTTCCTGAGCTTCCTCTTCCTGACTAACCTTTTCCGACGGAGCTCTTCCTTCTTGGCCTTCCTCTTCAGAAGCTCAGATTCAGACAGCATGGTAGTGATGGCAGGTGCCGGCTCCGCGCTAGCATCATTCACAGAGGCCTCAATGACGTCTTCAGAAGCCTTGACGACAATTGTCCTCAACGGGACATAGGCAGCAATAACACGCGCATTGCTATAACTTGACGACAACACAGTCGTATGACCTAGCCCAAACCCAAATTTCGTCTCCAAACATCAACAATACGTTCAGCAAACCACGCAGTGCTCCTCCGTCAACCCACTACGCAAAATACACTTCTCAACATGATATAAAAAATCAAAAAAATCAAAAAAAAAAAAAAAAAAAAAAAAAAGAGAACGGGAAAACCACAGGGTCAGTTAAAAGCAGAGGAAAATCCGAGACGAGATTTGTGAAACTTCCACTCACCGGACAGAGGAGCGACAGGGAGTTTCCACTGCGAGACGGAGGAGGAGGAGGCGGTGCAGGAGGAAGAAACCGAGAGCGAGGACAAGGGAGCCACAAGGGGAGAGCTGCAGAAGAGCGCCATCGCCATGCCGACAGCTTGGAAATCAAAGCAACATATCCTTCGATGGTTTCTTTCCACACTCGACCCACCTCGCCTCTCGGTCGCTCGCTGGCTCACTCGATGTGGATAACCCTAAGGGATACGATGAATGAAGGAATAGCTCGTAGATTCGGCAGACGTGAATGGATCAATATGAAAATAATTCATCCGCGATATCCCTGCCATGTTCAAATGTTCACGCCCGCCAAGTCCGCGCCAAACAACAATTTTACTTGTCTACTCTCGGGTAGTGTATGATTTCTTCACTTCGGAGTATTTCTACAACTTGTGGATGGATGAAAAAGAGAAGCACAGTGTAGAAAATAAGCACTCTCGTCTTCTACTTTGAACTCTTCGGAGTTAAATCACATAGTGCTTTTTGAATTTCTGGAATTGTGAATGAGCTTAGGGCTTAGAAATAGTTCCTGAAGGCAGTCGAACTCAGGGGATTTCTTAGAATTTCTTTGTGGAATAGTAAAACCTACAGAAAATTCTCGTTCAAGACAATGCGACACGAAACTAACTTCGTGTGGAATAGGAATCTGCTTGATTTCCGTCCTCGGAATGATAATTACTTGATGCAAGCTATCGAGATGTGTCATCTCACAGGGTTTTTGTTTTTTTTTTGTTTTTTTTTTATCTGTGAGATGTTTGGCGAGCGAGTCACAGACGTACTCTTGAAGCATTGCTTCTAGAGTACAATACATTCAGCCTCTGAGAGAGAAACTATATTTAGATGTTTTACAGAGTATTCAGGTATCCCATATTAGCAAAAACAGTGAATACCGTAGGATTGAGACTTTCGTGATGTGTGAGGACACAATATTACAAACTGTTGCATATTTTTTTGCATATGTTGCATATACTGTTGCACAGTATTACAACACCGTACTCCTGATATGGTGAGATATATTTACGGCCGAGAGTTTTGAAGAGATCTCATCCGAGATGTTGCAGAGCGCCTTCCAAAGCGGCATGGAGGATTCAACGTGATTCGAACTCCCTCGTGACAGCCCTTTGCTGGTACGTAAGCACGAAAACTTATCTCAAAATTTTCCTTCCAGGATGCAAAGTTCAATCCTACTCTTTCTAACTACATCAGGTTTGAACCTTCACCTTCTATTGGATGAATTCAGCCTTCGTGCGCGGGGTTCACCGATATGTATAACCAGATCAAGCAAGGTCACGCAAATACCACCTGGAGCATCAGGAATCAGACTCCACGAACCGTTATTGTCTGCAAACTGCACTGTTGTATTGATGTGTGAGATCCTTTACCCTCCATTCCGAAATGGCTGATTCTTTCACCACAGATCTATACCATTCCAAATAAGTGTTTTATCATTGGAGCTGCAGTCGAGGTCTATCACAAGTAGAATGCACTAATATTTTGTAACTACGATTGCGGTCGAAGTTAATTGAAGAGGAGTATCAAAACGTTTCAGAATTCAACAAAGTGCTGCTAGTAAAAAATAACTTAAAAATAGATAATTAGGTGAAGTATTCAATGTCACCAGAAAACCGAGTTAAACATGATAATAGTATGACGAGAATCTGCCGCCAATTGGATCTGTTTGTGGATATGGAGTACTATTGTTGCACAATTTGAAAGTAAGATTTGGCTTCAATAACATGCACTACTTGTGTATGCAGCGAGTGTAACCTGCGAGCATAATAAACATAGAATATGTACATGGAATAGACAAAATAGTGTTGTTTGCATCAAACTCACCGTACCGTAGTACTTGTATAATACCAATTAAGTCAAATTCGACCCTACATCGACCATCCTTTTCAAATTTTGTTAATCTTTATTCTTAAATTTAAATTATTTACACATAAATTTGAAAACTTAATATTTCAAGATTATACAATGTGATTTAGATATAGAGATATTAATTAGGGTGTTGCTAATGTCATCACAATTTTTGCTATTGTCACTACAATTTGCAGTAAACCATATGTTATCATAGTTTTTGCTAGTGCCACAACAAGTTGTCTTGAACTTAGATCACACACAATGCATTTTAGTACATCAAATGTATCTTTTAGTACTCCATATAGTGCATAGTACTATGCAATTCAAGTTAATGATAACTTATGATGGCAATAGCAAAAACTATGGTGACATTATCAATACCTAATAATAATAACAATAATAATAAATTTTATAATTTCAAATAAATAAAAAATAAATTAGATTTATAAAAAATACTAATTTTAAGAGACTATAATTTATAATTTGATATACCTTTGTCAAGTTTGATAGAAAATTGTAAATAATTAGTATGATTCATATTATATATTGATTTTTTTATGCTTCAAAATAGATGATATTATATGTATTCAATTTATGATTTTAAAAACTCAATATTATTTATTAAATTTATTTTAATAATTAAAAATAATATATTTAATACTATATCAAATAGTATTTTTTATATTTCACATTTTTTAATAAACTTATAAAAATCTAATTTTATAGTTATATATATATATATTATTTAAAAAAATAAAAATCCATATATAATAACTAAAATATATTACATGTATTTAATTTTGATAATTAAAAACTAAAATATCTTAACATGTAGTTTAATTTTAAATATTCAAAATTTATTATATATCTATATAAATTTATTTAAAATAATATAAAATAAAAAATTATTGATATTATGATTTTAACTATTTTTATACATATATTTACTATATAATAAATTAAATTATACTTGTTATCAATCTTTAATTCTGTTTACAAATATACATTCAAACTAATTAATAAAATTTTATATCTATTACATAATAAGACTAGTAAATATAGGGAGTTAAAGCGACACTCAAATTTTGTTAAAGCCACACCTCTGTTGCCACCTCATATTCCATTTTGTACTTGTTTCATATCTCTAACCTTGTTTCCAACCCCTATCTTCTATTTCCAGCCATCGTTCCCCAGCCCCACCTCATTTTGTCTCCACCATGTTCCCACTCTATCTTGTCATGACCCCACCCCATTCCCATCCTGTCCTGTTCTCAATCCCAACTTTATCTAAATTTTCAAATTTGAGATATTTACTTGTCAAATTGTTATTTTTAGTTAAAATAAATATTTGTAGTATTAAATATCACATCCAAATAATGTTAGAGTTTGAGTAAAAATAATGTTTCAAAAGTTTGTGTTTCCATCAATAGATTTAAGTGAAGTTTGTGAATTGCATAATCTAACATTTAATTGAAAATAAAACTTTTTGAATTGCAAGATTTTCTTACACATACGGAAACAAAAAATTATTGTGTATGAAGCTATGCATACATTCTCTTTGTACAAATTGTTTCGTATTAGATCCTAATATTCATATCCTTACAATTAAATTGTGAAATTAGAATAATATTAATAATTTCAAAAATCATCTTGCACAATAATAAAGCAATATGGTTTTCAAGTTATTTTTTTAACATTACTTTTGTCACATTGTATTTTATTTTAAAAGTATCATATATTTGTATATAAATAATGAAAGAAAACATCTCACAATATTAATTTTCATACATAAATTTATAGTTTTACTGCTTGCATCCTTTAACTATTATTATTATCACTATTTATTTTTATCCAAATCAACATAATTATCTAAATTCCTAGTGTAATTAGTTTTATCAAAATGAAATTATCATCCATTTGAAAAAATCAACCATGATACTTTTCTTTATGTTTAGTATTATCTCACTTCAAAAAATGTTAAACAATATATTTAAAAATATATTTTGAATGTATTTTAACAACTTGTACAAAAGTTTTTACTTACTGCAATTGTTTATGAAATTAAGTTTACATATACAAATCAAAAACATTTTGAATAGCATATTAAAAACTCATGGTTTTTCTTTCCAACCTTAAATCCCATGTTAAATTTGATCCATACAAGTTTTTATGAGCACCTTTCAATGTATTTCAAAACCATATTACTTTGAATATATATATATATATATATATATATACATATACAAATATATATTAAGATCTATAATCATATGTTATCACCTCGTTGTAATTTAAACTTCATTAATTACAAATAAGTTTTCAACTAAAGATAATAATTTAACAAGTGAATACCTCAAATTTGAAAATTTGGGTAAAGTTGTTATCATGAATAACTCAAAATTTAAAACTTAAGAAGAAGTGAAGACAAGATTAGGTGGAAGGAAGGAGAAAAGTGATGCTAGAAATGGGATTGGAGACATGGAATGGGTACAAAATGAATCTTAAGGTAGTAGGGGGATGTGGCTTTAACAAAATTGGGGTGTGGCTTTAACAACTTCCTAAATATAATATCCATATGATTAATATATATTAATCTTATTAGCAATTAGATAATATTAATCTAATAAAATTATTATTACACAATCACACTTCTAAATTATATCTATATACATTTTTAAATTATTTTAAATTGAGAATCTAAATCTTTTATATGAGTATCAACTTTGGGATTGTGCAATCAATATTCAAAAAGCACTAAATAACTATATAGACCTATTCAAAATCTATTATTGCATAAATTTGTAGTACTTAAGGAATGTAGAAATAATAATTTTATGCAATATTAGATTCAATGCTCAAAATCTCTAAAATTTTATTAAATATTTCAAATCATAAATATTTAGATACGTTTATTTTTTAAAGAATAAGTATCAGTAACTTTGTATTATTACACATTGTTCTACTATTGTAACAATAAATCCAGTGTAATTTTTATTATTAAATTAATTAAGACAAAATCTTTGTGAAAGCATTTTTACATTGATATTAAAAATTATTATTAATTAATAAATAAATGTAATATATAACTGTCTTTTGATTATGAATTTAACTTTTAGTATAGTAAACGTTATATCTTTAAGTTCTTAAAAATTTTAAATCTAAAAAAAATACCGTATTATACAATTTTATAATCTTTCAAAACATAATAAATACTTTCAATTGAGATGAATTTTTATATAATTATTTTAGAATTTAAATTCTAAATTCTACTCAATAGATTTTGAGTTGGAGAAGAATTTCAAATAAGAATCTAAAAATTCC